TGGGGATGTGGGAAGGAGAGTAATGTCGTAATTGATAGTGGAAATGTGATTTGTCACAGCGCTGTTAAAGCTCACCACTCAAGGAGACATCAGATGAGCCCCCTGAAGTTGAAATGGACCTTCATTGTGTCTTATTTTCTACAACGTGAGGATATGGAAGTAGCACTATTCTGTTCCAAACCTTGCCTCCTTCAACAGGCTTATGGGCGTTCCAAATCACTTGCAAATACTCTGTTTTGAACCTAACAGCTCAGGTATGTGTGCCCAGTTACAGACAGACACAGCCGTCAGCCCTGTGTTCAAAAGTCTAAACTCGAGCGTGACTGATCACTTTGAAGAATCATGCACATTTTTGTCAGCATCTCCTGGTGAGGGAAGCAGCCACACAAGAGAAAAACTAACCATAAAGCTGGGCGTTAACTTCGGGTGCTCTGTCTATAAATTTGTGACTGAATACAGTTGTACACATGTTCTATTACAATGCTCATTTTTTTAAAAAAAATATTTTTATTGATTTCAGAGAGGAAGGGAAAAGAATAGAGAGATAGAAACATCAATGATGAGAGAGAATCATTGGTCGGCTGCCTCCTGCACAACCCCCACTGGGGGTCAAGCCCACAACCCAGGCATGTGCCCTTGGCCGGAATCGAACCTGGGACCCTTCAGTCTGCAGGCCGATGCTCTATCCACTGAGCCAAACTGGCTAGGGCTACAATGTTTTTTATAGTAGGGACTGTCGGGGGTCACCACAACACGAGGAACTGCATTAAAGGGTCGCGGCATTAGGAAGGTTGAGAACCCCTGCCCTAAAGAGATTGGCCGAGGGGTGGAATTTTGGCTGGTGGTGCTCTCTTTGGAACACCATTTCCTAACGAGGCAGCCTCCGGCAGGCCACTTAACCTCTTTGAGCATCAACTTCCTAAACTGAAATCAGGATGATAAACTCAAATCGCCTCTGCGTCCCTAGGCTGGCTTCCGCTGGCGATAGCACACGTAAACGGGTAACCGGGCCTTGAGATCTGTCAAACCTTGGTTGTTACTACTGAAGGGTGACAGCACCCCTCACCCCGGCCCGCGATTTTAAACACATCATACAAACCCGCCTTTTCTCCAAAGAGCCTGCTTGCATCACAGCAAGGCTGCCAGCTGCCAGGCAGCAATGCCGAGATGGCCCAGCAGGTGTCAGCAGAGAACCGACTTTTGGTCCTCGGTGGGCTCCTCATGGGATGGAGGGGATGCTGGGACCTGGTGCCTGAGGGGTCAAGGGCAGGGCGGTGGCCGCAGAAAGAGACCCCGCCTGTGAGTCTGCCACACCTGGGAGATCAGAAAAAGGAAAAGGACTAAATCAAGTGACTTTGGACCTTGTGGTCTTGTCACACTGTTGTTTGCCTTTCTTACCCCATATCAAAGTCTATCTTCCCCAAACTCAAGAACTCTATATACTAATAGTTCTGGAATACTAACGTCTCCAGGAAAAGGAAGTGGTAGCCTACTTAGGTGTAATCCAAAGGGTGTGTGTGGGGATGGGGGAGACGGGGGTGAGTCTCTAGAGTCCTAAACTACGATATCTGACACCCACAAGGCACAGAAGTCCCACATCTACCAGGAAACGCGAGCACTGGGCCCAGCATTGATTCAGCTGGCGGAGTGACCGGCAGAATATATGCGGATGCCAACATGGCCGAGCATCTCTCATATCCTCACACGGCTGCGTGTGCTGTGTCTCTTTCTCCTCCTCACTGTGGAGATAAAATTGTTTCCATCTCTTTCTTGGAAACCAGAAAGTACCATATTTGAAAGAATAGTTAAAATGAAAAGGGGGGGGGGAGGTGGTCTCGTTCTATAGAGCAACGCCCTTATGCGTTATTTTGCCCAGAATCTATAAGACAAGACAAAAGCAGAGAGCAGACCCGGACAGCCGAGCCCTTGCAGGGTTCCGTGACTGTGATCAGCAAGGCTTAGCACTCACTCTAGTTGAGCTTTTATGCTCAACCGGTGTGTTATCTGGGTCCCCAGATTTAGGGCAAGAATTTGCACTGCTTTAAGTATGGAGGCTCTGAAGACAGCCAAAGGGCGATGGGATCCATCTCTCGCTTCAAGCAATGCATACCCTCTGATGTAGGCCCCTCCTTCCGACCCTAAATCCTCGTAGATCATATTGTTACATTATAAAACCGACCTTCCATGGCACCGGGCGTTCACAGGGTGGGGCAATACTTGGGCTGTGTCTACCCAGGAATATAGAAGGGAGAATCATATGCATTAAAGACAGTCATCAGAATTGCCCAGCAACCCCTGCAAAAGCTATTTAATAATGAACCTTTCAGTATAAAGGACTCTCTCCATTGCTCTTATTGTGGGTTGTGCTTTGCTGGTGCAGCTATGCCGGCTCAGACGAAATCGTCTTTACAAATGAGCTTCCCTTAAGGACATCTTAGCCACGTTCAAGCTCAAGTTCATTCAATTCATTCAGGTCCTCTTCACTCCTGCTGGCGGCTGTGGCGCCCAGGCCGGGGAGCCCTCGCCTCTGCCCCCAGAGTCTGCCCGCCCGCCCGGCCCGCGCATTTGCTCTTCCACCAGCTCGTTCCGAGCCGCTCGGAAAGCCAAGATGAAAGGGGGAAAGTCGCAGCTGCATATTTATATTTTCCTTGCTCGAAGGGGATCGATTTCCGCGCATTTATTTTGGTCGTTGCAATACACAGGGGCGGATTTGCGTCACCCGAGCAACTTGTCGGTGGAGATAAAGTTGCACAAATATGAAAAGGGGAAGTGCTAGGAGTCATTATAGAGTTTTTCTCCGGAAGAAATAAGGATTTCGGCAGTATCCTAAAATACTAAGGCAGCTTCTATTTTGAGACCAATCTCGCAGGCACATCCGCTCATTTAGTCCGAGTTGGAGCCCATCAACAAAACAGGAGGTGGCCTGCGCTCCGGCGGGCCCGGGTTTCCTGCTGCTTTCTCGGTTGGAGGGTGGGGAGCGAGGGGGAGGGGAGCTTGCGGGCTCACACGAGGGCAAGGGGCGGGCAGAAATGAGGCCTGGGCCTGGGGGGGAGAGAGAGAGAGAGAGAGAGAGAGAGAGAGAGAGAGAGAGAGAGAGAGTTGGGGTGGGGGGGGAGGGGTAGGCAGGGGGTCGTTCCAAAGGTGTCCCTTTTCGAGTTACCCTCCGGGAGCTCCAGATCGGCCAGGGCGCAATGAAGCCGAGCGCCGTGGGCGCGCGGGCCGAGGCGCAATTTAGAGTCGAGCCGCCGACCTTGCTGGATAAGAGAGGAAGGAGCGTGAGGCTCGCTCGGGTAGGAATCCGCGGGAAACCCGACTTCCCAGTCTCGCCTTCTCCCCGCCGGCCCCGTACACCTGGCCTCCAAGTGCTGCGGATGCGGGTCGTGGACACCCCGGGAAACCGGGTGGGCCCGCAGGCCGCCCAGTTCTGCACCCCGCACCCACCCCGAGGGTCGCGCCTTCTTCGGGGGTAGGCGGCCCTCGGGGTGAGTCCTAAATGCATCCCCTGGACCCCGGAATCTGGGCCTGGGCCGCGGTTGGAATGGGGCCAGTCCAATCGGAATTGCAGCAAAGTTGAAAGCGACCCTAGAAAGAGTGACGCACTTTCGCGCTAGTGACTTTTCTGAGGTCCATGAGGTTGCAGGGGCCGCGCCCTCCGACCGACCGGACTCGGGCCAGGATCCCCAGCCTTTGCTTGCAACGCCTGCCTCCACTGCAGCGTCTCAGTGGCCTGATGCTGGTCACTCCTCCTCTGGCTGGAAATAGGGCTGGTTTAACTGCGTCTCGCCCAGGGCGCCGGGTGCCCTGAGCCCATCGCGTCCCTCCATTGCAGCTGCTGGAAATAGCACCTCTGTCCCGGCTGCGGGGAGCTGGGCAAGAAAACCCTTTCGTGCAAAAGAGAGGGAGAAAGCGAGAGCGAGAGAGAGCGAGCGAGAGAGAGAGAGAGAGAGAGAGAGACGGGGCTGGGGTGTACTCAGTGATGATGGGTCCAAAGTGATGGATTACTTTCCAGGAGGAAAGTCAAAGCTTAAAACGACAACATCTGCAACAAGGAGCTAGAAACCCCTGGAGATGAATTTAATTAGCCCCAAACCCTAAACTCGAGATAGGCACTGGCAAGTTCAGTTGCCTTCCTGGGCTGGTTGGGTAAGAAACCTCAGTGCTGAAGTGAAATTAAAAATGCCTCAAAACTAGATTGAAAGTTGTTTTTTTTTAAATGCCACAGAAGCACAGCTGCTCTGTTAGGAGATGCATCTGAGCACCATCGAAAACAAAAGATGTTGCGGTTTCATTATTGTTATTATTTTATTTTCTTCCTTAAAATGTGCAAATAGAGCTCCTCTGGGTGGCCTGTGGTTTGCTTGGGAGAGGGGTGGGGAAATCCGTCCTGACTGCAATTTAAAAGAGAACGAGTTCTTAAAATAAAGATGTGGAGGTTGCAGAACTCGCCCCCACGGTACCCCCACCCCCCACCCCTCACCCCCCACCCCCTCTGCGCTCCAAGGACCCGACGTGCGAAAGGAACGCGCTGGCGGCCTCGGCAGCCTCTCCCGCGACCAGGCCCAGGGGCTCCGAGGCCGGCAGGCGGTGAATTGAAAGTAGCATTTAACCCCGAGGAAATCTGCTCTTGCGGGCACTTGCAAAACAACGCAGCCCACGTGACTCGATCGGGGATGTGGCGGAGGAGGGAGGTGGCATCGCCTACAAGGTGCGGCCGCTCGCCCGGATTTCGGCCGGTCGGCGGCCTTTTTTGTTGTTGTCTTGGAGGCTTTGGCTACGTCCGAGGCAGACGTTGAGAGACATCCATCTTATTTTGTTTGAAAAGTTACTCGTTCAAGTTGTCACCGTGTGACAGCTCAGAATAAAGCTAATTTACGACAGCTCCTCCTCTCTCCCCGGAGGATTTCGGAGGCGGCGAGGCCGACGCGGTGCTCAATGGGGCGGGGTCCCCAAGCCCTCCCCCCCCCCCCCCGCATTCCTGCGCCAGAGCTCAGGGCTGGGCAGCGTGGGGCGCGAGAGATGGAGCCTTGCGGAGGACACCGATTTTCGGGATAAAGGCCCGATCTGCAGGAAAATGGGGGCCGAGTGATGTCAAGGGATGGACACGTAGGGGCCCCCAGCGCGTTCCGGGAGGCCGCCTATGCCCCGCGGTAATTGTACGGGACCATCCGTTTCCCCAGGCGAGGGCTCCGGGTCTTTGTGACCCACTCTCCTCGCCCGGTGCCGGTTCGGCGCCGCAGAAATCACAGGCGGGGCAGTGTGTCCCCGGAGCCGGGGAGAGGGACGCGCGGAACCCCGCTCGGCCCACGCGGCAGCGGCAAACACTTTGGCGTGGCTGAGGCGTGGCCGGGCGCTAGGCCACGCCCCTCTTTGCCAATTCCCTCCACTCCGCGCTCTGATTGGTCCCGAGGGTGGCCAATGAGCGCTCAGATCGAGGTCCCTACCCTGAGCCTGACTCGAAAGCTTCTGCCAAAACTTTGGGAGTTTTTAGAGAGGAGTTTTTTTCCCCCCTCTTATTACTTTTTTTTTTTTTTTAAACTAACGGATTATTATTGTTGTTGTTTTAAATTTAGCTCTTAGGGCTTAGCTCTTGGGGTTTTTCTTTCGGTGCCCGGCCCCTGTCTCCCCGGCTTCCCCGGCGTGTGCGGAGCCGCCCGCCACCGCGCCAGCGCCCCTCGCTCGCCTCCAGCCCGCGGGGCGCGCGGGTCCCGCGCCGCCTTCCGCGGCACCAGGGCCGACTGTGACCCGCCGGATCCGACCCTCGCCTCCCCCCCTCGGAGGTGCTGGGGCTCCCTGGCTTCTCTTCGGAGCGGACGGAGAACCGAAAGCGGATCGTCCTCGGCCGGGCGGCTGCCTCCTGCTGGACTAGGCGCGCCCCTCCCCGCGCGCGCACCCACCCACCCATCCACCCGGCCCAGCCAGGCCGCGGCGGCCGCCGCCGGGCGCACCCCGCCAGGATGTTCGCCGCCGGGCTGGCTCCCTTCTACGCCTCCAACTTCAGCCTCTGGTCGGCCGCTTACTGCTCTTCGGCCGGCCCGGGCGGCTGCTCCTTCCCGCTAGACCCCGCCGCCGTCAAGAAGCCCTCCTTCTGCATCGCGGACATCCTGCACGCCGGCGTCGGGGAGCCGGGGGCGGCCCCGGAGGGCCTGGCTGGAGCCTCGGCCGCTGCCCTCACCGCGCACTTGAGCTCGGCTCACCCGCACGCCTCTTTCCAAGCCGCCGCCAGATCCCCGCTTCGACCCACCCCGGTGGTGGCGCCCTCCGAAGTCCCGGCTGGCTTCCCGCAGCGACTGTCCCCGCTATCGGCCGCCTACCACCACCACCACCCGCAGCAGCAGCAGCAGCAGCAGCAACAACAACCACCACTGCAGCAACAGCCTCCACCTCCTCCCCGGGTGGCGGGCGCCTTGCAGCCCCCGGCCTCCGGGGCGCGGGGGGTCCCCAACCCTCACCACAGCGGCTCGGCCCCAGCCCCCTCCAGCAAGGACCTCAAATTTGGAATTGACCGCATTTTGTCTGCAGAATTTGACCCGAAAGTCAAAGAAGGCAACACGCTGAGAGGTAGGTAGGTCTTGGGCTAGAGGCCTCAGGCCTCTGACCAGGGCCCTGAGGCACCGGGGTCCCTGGGCCATTCGGGGTACCTTTGAACGTTTTTGTTTTGTTTTATTTTACAATTAAGGACACATTGGTAAAAGGAGGGAGACAAAAATCAATTGTGGGAAGACTGAAACTCTAGGTTTAAAACTCACCTGCTCTATGTAAAAATTAAAAAAGCCCTAGGAATGTTTTAAACACACACACACACACACACACACACACACACACACACACACACACACCACTCTTCACAGAGTCAATGCGCATACAAATTGTTATTGGGAACATTTGCTACAGTGACTATCCCTTGTCTTTAATCACATATCTAGAGAGGAAACTATTATTTGTTAGGGAAAGCCCTTTTGGGGAGCACTTTCCCATCATTTGTCTGATTTAGAGAGAAATTCCACCCCAGGAATGTGGCGAAACAAATGGGCTTTCAACTCCCGAGAGGAGACAGCAGAGCAAGGTCTTCGGTGGCGGAGGGTTTAGGGCTGGGATTCTCCAAAGGCACCTGAGAGCGAGTTGGTGTTGGCGGCTTAATGTCAAGGCCTTCCTGGCCATAACCCCGTGGACACGGACAGACGGGACATGTCGCTCCCGCATCGCCCCTTTGTCCACAATCGGGAGAGAGGGGCTTGGGTTGGAGACAGGGCGCGGGAGGAGGGGAGGAACACACCAGCCCAAAGGGTGTGGGTTTGCCTGACGTGTAACCCGCTCTTCTCTTGCCTGGTCCCCAGATCTCACGTCCCTGCTGACGGGCGGGCGGCCCGCGGGCTTGCACCTCCCGGGCCTGCAGCCCTCGGCCGGCCAGCTCTTCGCATCTCTAGACCCTATTAACGAGGCTTCTGCCATCCTCAGCCCCTTAAGCTCCAACCCGAGGAATTCAGTCCAGCATCAGTTTCAAGACACGTTCCCAGGTACGGAGCTTCCTCCGGGGCCAGTCCGCGCCCATCAGAAAACTCGGGACTGATGCCTCCGGTGGCGAAGGCGGTGTGGCCATCCTGGAGTTGGTGCGGGAGGCCACCGCATCAGGGGAGAGAAACCGAAAGATTTCTCCCCGGGAGCTGGCCCTCTCTCTCTCTCTCTCTCTGCCCGCTACCACAGGGAAGGGGTGGGATGGGGGGGGGGACTTTCCCTAGTCCTTTCTCAGGAGAGGGGGTGCTTGAAAATGCAGCTGCAAGAGGCGTTGCTTAGGATCATACACACAGATTTTGAAATGACTTCAAACCCTTTTGCTCCAGGAATTTGCATCCACGCTCCTCGCCTGGGCGCATGAGTGTACACACACACACACACACACACACACACACACACAACAGAGAGATGAGAGAGACAGACAGAGAGAGAATATCCAGGCCGGCATCTCTAGATTCTTCAGGCCTGGGGGACATTTTTTTTTTATTGATTAAGTTATTACATATGTGTCCTTATCCCCACATGACCCCCCACCCACCCCCAGTCAGGCCTGGGCGACGTTTTCACCTGCCTTCCCCGTGCCTGAAGGCCAAACATCAGCCTTACACGTGTCCCTTTGGAATTAATGGGTGACCCGCTGGGCTTCTCAACTCACTATATACACTTGCTTTAGGCCTTTCCACGACCTTCTCAAAAGCTGTACAATTCCTCCTTGGAGGAGGGCTTTGTGAATGCGGGGAGGGCCTAGGGTTAAGCAGGCCAGTTTTAAGCAGCACCGTGAGCCCTAGGCCCAGGGCGCTAATTGGGTCCTCCTGTGTGTCTCTCTCTTGCTCCCACCCCTCACCCCCGCCCCGCAGGTCCCTATGCTGTGCTCACCAAGGACACTATGCCCCAGACCTACAAGAGGAAGCGCTCATGGTCACGGGCCGTCTTCTCCAACCTGCAGAGGAAAGGCCTGGAGAAGAGGTTTGAGATTCAGAAGTACGTGACCAAGCCCGACCGGAAGCAGCTGGCGGCGATGCTGGGCCTCACGGATGCTCAGGTAAGCCAGCTGCGACCCGATGCAGATGCAGTCCATCCCGGTCCCCCCGGATCCCTCCACCCCAGCCGCTCCCCTGCAGCGGAAACACAAGGCCTTGCATTTCGGGAGACTCTGTGGGCTCCCCGACGTGAGGCAGGAGAGAGGAGAGTGGAGGAGAAGGACGGAAGGCACAGCCCGTCTCCAAAGATGTGTGTCAACAAGCAGCGCCTGTTTATTTTGGCCGGCGGGCAAGAGAACCGCTGAGAAAGCAAACAGGCTGTGGGAGATAATAATTACGGACCCGACTCCACTGCAATTTGCTGTAGGAAGCAGTTTATTTCAGAAGAGATAGAAATCCAAAAGCAAGGGATTGTTGTTGGCTTTTTTTTTTTCTCTTCTCTTCCTTCCATCCTCCCCGCCCCCCTCCTTCTGCTGCTGCAGGATTGTGAAATCCCCAGTTGTGAGGAAGTGAAAACACCATTTCAAACGGAATTACTTCGCCCTGGTCGGGCCAGAAGTCCGCCTGGAGCGGCCACAGTCCGATTTTCTTAACGGCATAAGCTCCGAAGAGAAATCTCAGGTGGGGGGAGTGAGGGAGAGAAGGAAAACAGGTTTCTTAGAATGCTTCAGAGCCTGGCAGCCGGCTCCGGGCTCTGCCTTCTTGACTACTTTTCAAGAAAATAACAAATCTATCATGCCTGCCTTCAATGTCCGAATTCTCCCCCCCCCGCCCCCGCCCTCACATTCAAGAACTGGACTTCTTTTTTTCTTTTTTGAGTTTTGAAACTAGAAGAGTCACCCTTCTGCCACACCCCTGGGTACCAAATATTCTGAGCAGGCATAAGCCAACCGCAGGCACTTTTAAAAAATGGTGCCTTTTGGTGCCCTCCCCCACCCCAACTCTGGGTCTCTCTGCCCGCCATTGCACAACTCCCCTCCCCAGCGCACACACACACTGGAAGGGCCCAGCCGTTTTCCACCAGCTGTGGATGTTATTTTTAAAAGGGAAGCTGGAACGTGTGTGAACGCATTGGGTCCCCCAGGGGATCGGCTGTATTTATATAGATTCCCCGCCCCATCCCTACCCCTTTCTCCACTGTGTACAGGTTTGATTCCAGAGTTTTCTGAGCTCACAGTGGGATTACTTTCTCCTGGGCAGGGGCTGGGGGCACTCTTGCCAAGGAACTGCTCTTCCCTGGAAAGTCCAGCGGTACCCCCACCTCTGGAATCAACTCTTTGAACCCTCTTTCCCCTCTGTGCTTCCTATAGTCCCTCCTTAAAAAGAACTGCTTTTGGAGGGACTTGCATAGGATAGTGGCGTTAGAGGAGGGGGCCGACTTAGCAGGAATTCGTAACATTGGTTCCCCTTATAATGGTGCGCAAAATCTTGGGGATATGTGCATTTTTAAAATTTTTCAAAAATATACTTTTATTACCCTCACTGGTTTGGCTCAGTGGATAGAGCGTTGGCCTGTGGACTGAAAGGTTCCAGGTTCGATTCTGGTTAAGGGCATGTACTTTGGTTGCAGGCACATCCCCAGTAGGAGGTGTGCAGGAGGCAGCTGATGGATGTTTCTCTCTCATCGATGTTTCTAACTCTCTGTCCCTCGCCCTTCCTCTCTGTAAAAAAATCAATAAAAGATATTAAAAAAATAAAATATACTTTTATTGATTTTAGAGAGGAAGTAAGAAAGATAGAAACATCAATGATGAGAGAGAATCATTGATAGGCTGCCTCCTGCATGTCCCCTACTGGGGATCAAGCCCGCAACCCCGGCATATGCCCTTGGCCAGAATCGAACCTGCGACCCTTTAGTCCATGGACCAACGCTCTATCCACTGAGCCAAACCGGCCAAGGCGATATGTGCATTTTTTTCTGGGCCACGGCGGGTCAGTCAGATTCCGGGGAGGGTCCTGACGCAGGCGGCGTTAAGGAAGCATCGATTTAGAGTAGAGATCCTCCCGCGTTTGCAGGAGGGGCGCAAGGATCTGCCTTTCCAACAAGTATCCGTGCAATTCCGGGCTGGAATCTGGAGGCCTAGTGCGGGGACCCATGGCGATCTCCTTGTTTCTGGCGCGGCAGCCTCAGGGCCCCTGCACCTAGCGCAGTGCCTGGCGCGTCCTAGAGGCGCCCGGGACAACCAGCGCCGCCTCCCGCCTTTGGGGCGCCTCCCGGGTGCGCGCCAGTCGGATGGGGGCGCGCCTGTGTCTCATCGCGCTTTCCCGTCTCGTCCCCGCGCGGCGCAGGTGAAGGTGTGGTTCCAGAACCGGCGGATGAAGTGGCGGCACTCCAAGGAGGCGCAGGCCCAGAAGGACAAAGACAAGGAGGCGGACGAGAAGCCGGCGGGCGGAGCCCCCGCCGCGGACGGCGAGCCGGAGGAGGAGCGGAGCCCCAGCCGCTCGGAGGGCGAGGCCGAGAGCGACAGCAGCGACTCGGAGTCCCTGGACATGGCCCCCAGCGACACGGAGCGGACTGAGGGCGCCGAGCGGTCCCCGCACCAAACCACCGTCATCAAGGCTTCGGTGGCCGGCGCGCTCGTCCCCGCCAGCAGCGTGGGGAGCGGGAGCAGCGGCAGTTTTAGCTTCAGCGGCCTGAGCAGCAGCAGCAGCAGCAGCACCGGCACGGGGATCGCCAGTAGCTTGGGCAGCAGCGGGGGTGGCCTGGCCCCGGAGCTGCTCCCTGCGCCCCAGCCCAGCCTCTGCAGCGCCCCCAAAAGCCCGGAGCCCGCCCAGCCGCCTCTCGGAGGCCCGTAGACTGGACCAGGGCGCAGGGGACCCGTCTACGCGGCTGGATCTCGTGCCTGCTCTATGGTGCTGGCCGCGGGGACAGGGCCAGAGACGCATCGGTGGAGCCTCCTTCGCCAGGGTCGCCTGCTGCCCCTCGCTGGCCGCCTGGGGCACCCCCTCCTCCCCCGTCGGACACTTCTCCCCGGATACAAGCAGCTCACACTGTGACGTGTGACTCCGCAGTGCCTTCCTGCGCTAGGGGGTCGCAAAGACGTGCTGCACTTAGGACGCCACAACCTTGTAAATAAAATGTTTACTACGGTTTGTAAAGAAAGGCTGCGTGGCTGGCACAAGGTCAGGGATCTCTGCGCTGGGCCTTAGCTCCGGGCAGCAGGTCACAGCGGCTGGAGGGGGGACTAGAGCTTTGGGGTAAGTCCTGCAACCTCGAGCCACGTGGCTGCAGAGTTGGGGTTGAGGTTTAGCGGCTCCAGCAGTTCAGAGGGGTCTTAGCCCGTCGCTGGGTGACCCTGAGTGTGGCCTGGGAGCTGAGTTGGCCGTAGAATCCATTAGGGGCAGATGGCTTTCCCACTGAGAGTCAGGACTCCAGGAGTGTGCAATGAGCGGCTCGCAGGCTTTCGGAAGATGCGGAGTTGGGATGGAAAAGAGGTGGTGCCTGCGGGTCCGTGTGGACACAGCCTAGACTCCCAGGGTGGCCACTCTGCAGGGCCTGGAGCCGGGAGGCAATTCCAGGGCAACACGTCCCTTGCTCAGGTGTGGCCGGCCGTGTCCTGGTGGAAAGGACAGGCAGACCGCAGTGGCTGCGGCTGGAAGGCCAGGCCTGGGATGGCTTTAAAGATGCCCAAGCGATTGCATGGCAGAAAGGGGTCTTGTTCAAGGTTTCACGGAGGCAGAGCCTCAGACCAGAACTCCTGCCTCCTGGCTCACTTTGGGCCAGTGATAGGTCTAGGAAACTGCACACACACTCACACACACACACACAATCTTTCCTCATAATTCAGTTCCTGCAGGCTCATGATTGCCCCTTCCCCCAAAGCTGCCACGATTTGAGAGGCAGTTTCCCCATCACAGTGCAGCTGGCATAAAGCAAACCTGTTTTAACTCCAGGCTGCCCCTGGGGTGGGCCATGCAAAGTTGTTTTTATTTTGAAAGGTTGAAGAGTCAAACCTCTCTCCAAGACCAAAGTTCCTCCCCGGCTCACCTTCCCTCGAAATTACAAAATGTTTGGAGTTTGTTAAAAGTTCTTTGGGGAGATTTTAAAACAAGTAGACGTTGTTGTCGATGAACCTGATCACCCAGGTCTGTTTGGCACAGGGGCTGTGGGCCTCTTACAGACCAATTATCCATGGGGGAGGGGGGTTGGTTGTCAGGGAGAACGGTGCTTCTGTCAGATGTGTGGTCAGGGAGCCTAGACCCCCTCATCTCCTGGCCAGAGGGGGAAGGCTCCCCAGTCTGGCTTAGCTTCTCCACTTTGACCCATTGGCTTGAGCTCAATGAAAATGTCTCTTACCGATTTTCCCGCCCAGGGGCAGAGTAGAGACCCCAAATTTAGCCTTCCCTGGTGGGGCGCATCAGACACCTGGGCAAGTCCTAGAGCACAGCCCAGGGACCAAGGCTGCCCATTTCCTACTCCAGTCACCCCCTCCCGCAACCCCCCATGCAGCAAGGGAACCCCTAGAGCAGCGGTTCTCAACCTGTGGGTCGCGACCCCTTGGGGGAGTCAAAGGACCCTTTCACAGGGGTCGCCTAAGACCATCGGAAAAACACATATATAATTACATACTGCTTTTGTGATTAATCACTATGCTTTAATGATGTTCAATTTGTAACAATGAAAATGCATCCTGCATATCAGATATTTACATTACGATTCATAACAGTAGCAGAATTACAGTTATGAAGAAGCAACGAAAATAATTTTATGGTTGGGGGTCGCCACAACATGAGGAACTGTATTAAAGGGTCGCGGCCTTAGGAAGGTTGAGAACAACTGCCCTAGAGGAATGTGCACAGTGGGGAGGGAGAGGGAAGACCAGGGTGGTCCAAGGCCGGACCATGTCACTCCCTCCAGGAGGGACCTTAAGCTGAAGGGGACTGTGAGCCAGCTGTTACCCCGAAATGTGCCCCAAGATGGGTGAGCAGCCTTCCCCACCTGCCCTGGGGTTCCAGCCCCGCCTGGGGTGGCTCCTTTATTCCTTCCACCGGCTCTGCTCCTGGAACTGCCGCACCTCTCTGTACCCCGAGTTTGCCTTTATTGTGGAAGTCCGTTTTCTCCCAAGCCCCAAGGATTGAAATTCTGGAACAAGGAATTCCCAAGAACATGGAATTAGGAGGCGCTGGAATCCAGCTCTGGCGTTAAGGAGAGTAAGGAGGCAGGATGTGCACCTGGTTGAGGACCTGGCCCAGGGAGAAGAGGGGGGAGAGGTTTTGTGTTATGCTCCCCGCAGCTACCCTGCCCTTGAGGGTGGCCTGCAGCCCCCCAACCCCCGCCTGGGCCCAGTATCCCCGAAGTGTAGGCAGTCTTCGCCCAGGACTGTAATGATGTGACTTCGGGTAAAATTAGGCCTTATCTCCGCCAGGTTCAGCCAGACGAGAAGGCTCTGCAGGCTGGGAGGCGGGTACCTTGGGGTGGGGGTCGGGTGCTCCCGGAGGCTGGTAGGAGGCACCCCTTCCTCTGCCTCCCCCACTTGCGTTCCTGAACACGTTCCCAGTGAAACGCTAGCGGGGCTCTCCTCTAGGTAATGGAGTTCTCCCACATTTTCATGGACGGAGAATCGCAAGACGCAGAGAATGTGAAGTTCGCTTGACAGAGCAGTCCCCGGACCCAGGGCCTCCCGGGCGGGCGGGCGGGGTGGCGGGAGGAAACCCGCAATTCGGCTCAGGTTGCCCCACCCCAGGACGGCTGGGGTCTTCGCGGGGTGGGGTGCGGGGGGGGGGGCCCTCGATGCTGGTAGGGGCGGCCGGGAAAGCTAGAAACTCCTGAACCGAGAGCCAGATCGCAGCGCGCGGAGGAGAAGGCTGCGCACCGAGGGTCCGCGGGCGCCAGGAGCGCCGAAGCCGCAGCGCGCGGCCTGGGAGCGGAGCGGAGGCGAGACCCCGCCACCTCCCGGCGCCCCAGGCCGCGCCCCTCCTAAAAGCGGTACCGACTCCGCTCCGAGCCGGACTCAGCCGTCCCGGCCTCACCGCCCGCCGCGGGCTTCACGGGCCCAGCGCTCTGAGCCAGGTTACGGGGCGCAGGGGGAGGGACCGCCGGCCGCGCGCGGCTCCCCAGGGAGCGGGGGGCGGGCGGGGGTCTGATACCCTCGTTCCCCCATCGGGTGCACAGGCGCGCGCGGGGGCGCACACACACACATCACAATTACACACACACATCACGATCACACACACACGCATCACAATTACACACACACCAAACACAAACACACATCACAATTACACACACACACCACGATTACACACACACACCGAACACAGACATCACAATTACACACACTAAACACACACACATCACAATTACACACACCAAACACACACACATCACAATTATACACACCAAACACACACACATCACAATTACACATACCAAACACACACATCACAATTATACACACCAAACACACACACATCACAATTACACATACCAAACACACACATCACAATTACACACACCAAACACACACATCACAATTACACATACCAAACACACACATCACAATTACACACACACACACACACACACACACACACACACACACACGCCCGCGCCACGTTCCCCGCTCTCCATGTGGCAAAGCCCAGCGAGGAGCCTTGGCCCGCTGCGCGCGCGGTGGGGCGCTTGTCTCCAGACGTTTGCTCGCGCCCAGCTTCGCCGACCAAACCCGCCTGGGTCCCCTTCAGCCCAGAGCGGCGAGGACCTGGGTCCCCGGGCTCGTTCCCAGCGCGTTGAGGTCGCTGTCCTGTCTCCACCGAGGCCAGAGCTGCCTGGCCCTTCGGCTCTTCCAGGAGAGGAGTTGTCTCCCAGGGAGGCTGTGGCCTGCGTTCCAGCCTGAGAGGTGGCCCCTGCCCTGCACCCCCACCCTGCGAGTCCTGGAAAGTATGGGGGGGGGGCAGTTACTCAGACTCGATGGTCACATATCCCTGACTCCCCGGGCCCTCTCCGATGGGCCCATGGGCCAGTAGTTCTGGGGTTTTCCTTGCGGCTGCTCCCTGGAGCTCGGGCCTGAGGTGGGGTGTTGGCGGAGGGTTCTATTTCCTTTGCGGCCCCTCCCGCTCGAGGGGACCCCAGGCTCCCTGCCCAAGCGCGTGGCACAGCCTCAGCTCCCAGAGTCTTTGGGGTCTCCAGGGCCCGGCAGGCACCAGGACCTGCAGTGGGGACTTTCTGGGGGCGTTTTAACCTGTTCCTGGATGGCACCCCCCTCCTCTCAAGCCCTCATGACCTCAAGCAGCTTCCGTGGGCAGGAGGGGCCTGGGGTGGGAGGGGGGCTCCGGAGCAGGAAAGGGGGCGAGAGTCGGAGGCTGAGTCAGGCCGGGCTCCCTCCTCCCGTGTGCGCCCCTGCCCACCCTCCGTTAAGGAGCTTGTCCTCCTTTAAGAAGGAAGAACAGAAGAGGGCCTTGGAGCTGCGTCCGCCCTATACACCTGGTCACGCTAATTTCAAGGTGACCCAGAGGCCCCTGCGCGCACAAGGTCCTCTCACTCCCCCTCCTTCAGCCTCTGGGGGAGGGGCTTGCACGCTCCCCGAACTTCATGAAGATGAAGATGCAACTCTGGGCGTTCAGAGGCCTTTAGCGGCAGGGGTGGGGGCTGTTTTTCACTGTTCCCGCCCACCTCTGGCTCACAGCCACTCCTTGCGGGTTGTGATGGGATTGGCGGGCCCCGAAGACAAATGAGCAACTTTCTCTGCACCTTCTCCGCAGGCACAGGCACGTGGGCGTTACAGGCACGTGCGTGTTACGGGCACGCGGGTGTCCTGGGCACGTGGGAGCTAAACCTTGCAGCGCGCCCCCTGCATCTGCTGGCTTTGCAAACCCGGCTGCTTGCACAGGGCGCCTGCACTTTCTAGGAGGCTCTCCCGTGCCCCCCACACACCCCCGTCTAACGGAGCAAGGCTCTGCGTGGACTGGCCCAGGGCCCCCGAGCCCCTGGGACAGGTAAGCTTGGAGCATCGCTGGCCCTTGGGTCCCTTAGCGGTCCTGCTCTCGGTCCCTTGAGGAAAGAAGGCTAGACGTCCCAGCATGTCCGATTGCTTCCTCCTTCCTTTCTGGTTGAGGCAACCCAGGCTGGGAGGGTCAACCTTACTCAAGGTCCCCCGGGTAGTGAGTGCCATGGGGTTAGAAGTTCGCCCCACTCGAAAGAGGGGAGCAGGAGGCGGCAGCTGCACCCACACCACCTGCTGGGCTCACCGAGCTCCAGGCTTCTGTGACCCCAAAGACTGTGGGAGCCGGGGATCCAGGGAGCCAGAAAGAGCGCGCATGATCCCAAACCTGCATTAGGGAAACCCTAAGCAGCCCAGGAACCATTCGTTCATTCACCAATTACTAAGCTGGTTGGTTACCTTGGGAAACTGATCTCGCCGCGTGGCTTTCGTTTCCTCACCTGTATAATAGGCACTAACCAGTTCCCTTGCTGACAAATTACCGTGAGGATTAACTGCGTTAAACCAAGGTGAAAGACATACCATCAGAACGACAGGCTTGCACGTCATTGTATTCCTTCACCCATTCGTTTATTCATTGTGGTATTTATTGAGGTGCTTGTTAGCGTATGCACGTTGGGGGGTGGGGGGAACCTACAAAAAACAGAATGCAAGACAAGCCTTACTCTCCAAGAAATTAAATCCTTAGACGGAGGCCCATGAGTACCACGCATTAACCGGTCCCCAGGGAAGCCCTCTGAGGGGTGTTGGGACTGGTTGCCCTGGGCGATGACAGGGGCTGCCACGTGGTCTCACTGACTCCGCCCATTGGAGCCTCTTCCTCTCCGCCCACTGGCACTTCCTCCAGCACCTGGTGCATACAGCAGGTGCTCAATACGAGGCTTGCAGGTGTGGTTGGGCGTTTTCTTTGGAAGGTGAAGAAACACGTTTTTGGAGGGAAGTTTCAGCAAGTGTCTGGGTCCAAGGAGGGAAAGATAGGTGCCCACAATTGTGACCATCTCAGGACACGTGGCCCTACGTTATTAACTAATTCATCGAAGGGAAGGTCTCCAGTACGGAAACAGGACACACACCCCTGTAGGAGGAAAGCCACGCTGTGTTTCTTCAGGGCAGGGCTGGCCCTGCTGGTGGTTGGAGAAATTCTGGCACCCTGTTTGGCACAGCGAAGGCGCCTCAACATTGACTAAACGAACAACACAATGATTGTGGCTTAGAGGTTGGGTATAGTCTCTCCATCCTCTGGAACAATATGATCGCTTGGTTAGCCTGGTCAGCACAGGAGGAAGCGGCTGACAAGGTGCGGAGCCATCCAGGGGTGACTCAGGGAGAGCGGACTTGGGAACCCCAAATCGTCAGCTGAGGATACACAGGGTCCCCAATACTAAGACCATCACAGAACAGAGCGAGATCACCAGCAGCGCTTGATGCAGGTGGCGACAGTGTTCATTCTCACACTTTCCGATGGAGAGTGTCTCGCGCAGCTGCAGCCCAAGGCAGGCACCATCCCCTCGTCCTGTAGCTCCAACGACTCGTCCACAGTCATCCAGCCAGCGGTCGATGTCAGGACCAGGACGGAGGCCAGAGCTTTCTGTGCGGCCTTGGGTCCCCCTTCCTGGGCCCAGCCCGCGGGGGCGCTGGGATCTGCACCCCTGTCTCCCGGCCACAGGGAGGGAGGGAGGGATTGTGGGCCAGGGAGACTGCAGCGAGCTGGCTCAGCCAGTCCACCCAGCACCCAGCACCCAGCCGCCTCCCGCTGCTGCCCAAAAGTGCCTTTTTATTTCGTGGAGTTTCCGACCTGCCCCGACCCCCAACTCGCCTCGAGCGATTTCCCGGTGGGCAAATTTCAGCCTTGCTTTGATGTGTCAGGGCTGTTTAACTTCGCTGCTGGGAATCGGGGTGAAGAGTGCGCCCCAGCAGTTCCCAGCGCGTCGGGGGAGCTCAAGAGAGGAGCGAATGAATGGAGGAATGAACGAATGAACTCATTGACGGTGAATAGGATTCCTTAATGCACTAAGGGTGAATAGGATTCCCTATCTTGCGATTTCCTGAACCCCTCCCGGTAGGGAATCGAGGGCAGTGCGCACCCCCTGCAAAAGGGATTCAGCCCTCAACCTTGGCCGGCGGGCTCTTGGGCCCCAGGCGCAGACCTCCCTAGAAGCTTCTGCCACAGGGGTCTCCTGGCTCCGTTCCTTTTGTTATTCGTTCGGATCTAGTGGGAGGTCCGGGTCCTCTGAATTCTTGCATCCCCACCCCGTAGGCTGAGTCCCTAGTCCAAGGTCAGTGCCGGCTGTCAGGCCTCAGTCTCCATCGGGGCTGGTCCAGACCTCAGCACTGGCGGGTGGGCAGTGCCGGGAGGGGTCCCCACAGGGCCGCTGGGGTCCTCGCAGCCATCGGAGCCAGACGCCCTCGTCCCGTGTCCTCCAGGATCCCACTACCTGTGCTGACCGCTTTACTGGGCGTGGTTTTGTGGTTGAATGAACAGCGCGAGAGGAAAGGAGTCAAACCAACAACTTGTGCTGTGACACATTTTGAAATGGAATGTGGGTCCTCATGGAAAATTTCCCATTGCCCTCGGTCTTCATCCTCCCTGTCCTCCTCGCTTTGGACATCTCCTCTTCCCAGCTTTCGTCCCCATCTCCTCCTCCTCTCCCCAGGATTTTCAGAGGAGCTGGGCCAGCTGTGGCGGGTTCTGGGGCCATGACTGGGGGGCAGGGTGTGTGACCTGAGAGGAGAGACCGGCATCCAGGCTGCTCCCAGGTGGTGGACTCACACCTTGTCCAGGAACCAACGTATAAGGAAAGGCTGTGATTTATTTTTATTATAAAATCCAAACGGCTGTGTTATTTTTAAAAAGACCCGCAAAGGCACCATCCTCCCGGAGGCATTGCATAGGACCAAGGTGACCACAGCCTGGCTGTCACCCCCTCTCCCCTCCATGCACACCCCAGGAGCCCAGCCCCTTCCTTCCCCCTCCAGTGTAGATTTCCCACCGCAGGGATGCCTCCTGCCTCGGGGTGGTACCTTCCCATTTGCCTCCAGGCGGGCGTTTGCTCAGCGCTGTGGAGGCAGTGAGTCCTGTGTCCCCTCCATTAGGCCAGGGGAGCACATCAGATGCCGCGCACAGTCAGACACAGGCAGCGGGCTGTCCAGTATGTACAACAAGGGGCGGCTCAATAGCGTCAGGAAGCCATCACCACGGCTACCTTCGCTGCCCAGCTACTTGCCTGCTGGCGGGAGGCTTCCGGATCGCAGTTTGAAACCACCCAAGGTGATTGCGTGCAGGTGAACATGGAGGAAAGAGACAAAAAATTCTCTCCCACCGTGTAAGCAAGAGCGGGGAGTCTTGTGTTTCATTTGACCTGCACAAGAGAGGATTCCCGGCTCCTACAGGGTCCACTCCGAGAAGCAGAGGATGGGCAGTTTCATCCAGGTCCTTGGACACCCGGAAGGTTCTAGCTCCAGTCCCTCCACTCGTGGGCTTCTGAGACTCTCTCCTCAAAGACAAAGGAAGTTCCAAGTTCAGAGACAAGCTCTGCGCCCTGTCTCTCTCTTGAGAATTATTCGGATCATTATTTCAAACATTCACCTTACACTGTGCGTGTAGACGCAGCCACAGGGAAGTCTGAGGCGTGGACTTGCTGCTCCTCCAGGGGACAGCGCATTCCCAGTGCGCCCTGGACATCCCCGAGGCTGGCGACTGCGGGAGCCGAGGCCCGACCACAGAAGCATCTCAAGCGCACGGTCCCCCCACCCCCCGCCCCCGCCCGCACTCCCTCCTTCTCCATGTTGGGATGGAAAGATCTGAGAGGTCCAGGAGCCACAGACCTTGCCCCTGGGGGAGGGGGAGGGGTCCTTTTTCTTCCCCTTCTCACCTGACCTTCCCCAGGCTGGGTCTCTCTCCCACTCGGGCCCCTCCCTGCGCCTTGGTCTCCTGCGCAGCCCAGGGGCGCTTCCTTCGGCCGAGACCGTGCAGCGGGGACAGGGATGCTCGGGCTGAAGCTCCGGCGCGTACCAGCCGCGCTTTGCCGGGTACCAGCCGCGCTTTGCCGGGTACCAGCCGCGCTTTGCCGGGTACCAGCCGCGCTTCGCCGCAGTGACCGAGGCCCCAGGGAGGCCGCGGCGCAGGACACGGTGGTGCCTGGAGGACCGCGGCCTCCGAGCGCCGCGCCAGGCGGGGATTGATGGTCTGTGTACACTTTCTGGCTCCAGCGCCCCGCGCGCCAGAACGATGGGGGCCCCCCTCCCTCCCCGCGGTGCCCCAGGCAGCGAGCTGGGGCCCCGAGTCTCCCCTTTCTGCCGCGCCAGGGCCGGGAACGCTCCCGGAGGGGAGGCGCGGCTGAAACCGAAAGTCCGGGCGCGGGGACCGAGGAGGAAACCCTCGCGTCTACGGGGCCGTTTGGAATCGCGCGCCTCGGCACCGGGTGGGACTCCAGGCCCCGGGTCGGCGGTCACGGCCGGTGTCCTCGCTGCGCCGCGTCCACGGGGCCATAGAATCCAGGACCTTGGGGTCCAGACTTCATTCGGTTCCTAGCGTGGTCCAGGGCAGGTAACAGGACCCGCCCAGAAGCCGGGCTAAAGGAGAGAATCCTGGGCCCTGGGTGCCGGAGGAGGCGGCGGATGGGCCAGGCATTGGGCGCGGGGGGTGAGCCAACGCCAGGCCAGACTAGGGGTCCGCGTGCGCGCGTCTTTCCTGCCGGGTTAACGGGACGCATGGGTGGCCACGCCGCTCGCAGGAGCTGTGAGTGACGCCTTCTCAGCCTTCAGGGCACTGGTATTCCATGTACAGGGCCGTGTACCAGGCACTGTTCTGAACACTTCATCTGTGCCAACTCATTTGCTTTTTACCAAATTCCAGTTATGCGGTTCCTTAACGTGGTCCCCACTTTAAGGTTAACTTGCAGAAGGGCCCGCGGCGAGGGAGTCTGGAATAAGTTACATCTCTCTCTCTCTCCAGGCCTCCATTATGTAAATCACCTATAGTCCTGATGAAACAAGTTCTTATTTTGAGTTAATAAGGGTCATGCACGCGGGTGAGAATGGGCTGAATTACCCAGCAAGCCCTGGCCATTTACCCACGGAGACCTTGGATGGACACTGGGGGTGGGGTAGAAGGTGGGGGTCACTGTGAGCTGCGACCATGGGGTCCAGTGAGTGGGGTGGCCGCAGGAGCCCATAAACACTTGCTAACTTTGTAGCAGTTGCCCTCAGGGTGTGTTAAACGCTCCGGGCTGTAGCAATTGTGAATTTGTAAGGATCTCAGACACAGAGTCTCTCCGAGTCTGTGGCCCTCTGCTTTCTTTTGTTAAATTAAATTAATTTTATTGAGAGTAGTACAGGCGTCCCCCGTTTTCCTCCTCCATGTCACCCCCCTCCAGGAAGCTGTCGGAACCCCAGGGTTTGTTGAAACACATACTCCCTCAGGCACAAGGCTGCTGAGGCAGGCAACACGGTGATGGCCCGTGATGGCCTCTCCAGGGACATCTAATTATTCTTGTTGGTGTCTTTACTTTTCAGGGGGAGGTGGGGAGTCGCACCTAGAAGCTTTAGCACCTCTAAGGAGATGTGTCCTGGGGGGGGGGGGCGGGCGGGCGGGCATGGCATAGAGGAGGGGCAGTTTATTGGAGAAGACATGGGTGGCAGTAAAAGGGAGCCGGGTAGAGTATGAGAGCACGGAGTGGAAAAAGAGGCACAAGAACTAGGAGAGAAGATGGAGGCCGTGAACATAAGTGGGATTTTGAAGCATTTCTTACATTTTTAAAGGGGGTGGGGCAGGGCTTGGGGCCGGGCCATAAATTAATAGATTTATTCCTCAATCAGGAAAGAGCCATTAAGATATTTTTGGCTCGGTCTGTGGGAAAATAATTTCTTTGATTGAGTTGCCCCAGAAGACCCTCCGAAGCCCTGTCCATTCTGCCTCCGACAGCCCCCTCTTTCCTGCCGGGCTGGGGAGGGGGGAGGAGCGGGAGCCCCCGGGGGAGAGGCGGCCTTTCCATCTTTTCCAGCATCTTGAATTTCACTTTGCACGTTTCTCTCTGCTTCTCGATGTGATCCCCGCTGCCGCCTCAGAGACTTGGAAGGAAAAATTCTCCAGCAGCAAGCATGCCCGCCCTCTGGTCTCTTTCCTTAGGTCTTGATTTAGGTCTTGATTGGCATTGACCTTGAGGGGGGGAGGGGAGCCTTGACCCCTCCCCCGCCCCAGCATGTGGAAGACTTTGGGTCTGGGAATTACAGAAACCAAACTATGGGGCAGGGTATGGGGCGGGGGAAACAAAAGTCCCCCAAACGGAAGGCAGGCACCCCAGAGCAGGGTGAGAGTGAAGAATTGTTCCTCCTGGGCTTGGAGGAGAGTGGTTCTTGCCAGTCTCTTAGGACTCAAAGTGTTGTCCGGGACCCTTAAGGGCAGCGGTTCTCAACCTGCGGGTCGAGACCCCTTTGGCAGTTGAACGACCCTTTCACAGGGGTCGCTTAAGACCATCCTGCATATCAGATATTTACATTACGACTCATAACAGCAGCAACATTACAGCTATGAAGTAGCAATGAAAATAATTTTATGGCTGGGTCACAACATGAGGAAGTGTATTTAAAGGTCCAGAAGGTTGAGAACCACTGCTTAAGGGTCTCTGAGATCCTTCCAGAGGATCCCCAAGGTCAAAGCGATTTTCACAATAATAGGTCATTGACTTTCACACACGTGTGCAATGGAGTTTCCCCCCCCGACGAAGGCCGCGTCAGGCCTGGTGCCGGCATGGCTCCAGTGGCCTCTGGAATGTGTGCAGGTTCCAGTGCCTGACATGGTTGTGGTTTTCTATTTCACCACAAAACAAATGCATTTCAAAAACACGTCTTGGTTTTCTAGCTCTACCTGCGCCACGTGGTTAATCACGTTTAAACGAATGAAAATGAAATATCACCGGGCGCGTTTCCATGGCTCGGTAGCTACACGCGGCCGGTGGCAGCCGCACAGGGTCGCGTGGATACAGAATATTCCCACCTTCATAGAAAGCTCTCCCGGACCCTGCTAGCTTCCCGAACTTGGACTCTTTTTAACTCGGAGCATCCACAGTTCCTGACGATAGACTAAGGAGAGGCGGGCAGTGTAGCTGGTCACAAAGACCACAGACTCTGGGGTGAAAATGGGCAAAAACCTCAGCTCAGCCCACATGACTTGGGGTTAATGTCTCCATGGTCCAGTTTCCTTATCAGCACATTGGAATAATAACCAGAGTAATAATAACAATTCCTTCCTTATGGGATTTGGTGAGTGTTTTAAATTTGAAATGAGCGAAAACACCTAAGAACCAGTAACTGACATATTGGAAACGACTACCACATGTGTGCTAAATATTGGTGTTATTACACATACAAAGTGCAGAGCTTACTGGGTGACAATAAAGTCAAATTTCCATATATATATATATATATATATATATATATATATATATATATGGTAAAATACACAACAAAAAATTTATCATCTTAACCATTTTAAGGGTACAGTTCGGTAATGTTAAAATACTCAATCTCCAGGACATTTTCATCTTGTAAAACTGGAATTCTATATCCATTAAGCAACTCCCCATAGTAATATTTTTATGCTGATGTGAATTGGTCTCCAGGCTTTAGGATTTTAGTTAATACTTTTGACTATAGTGTTAATAATTCCAGTTAAGCAAGGCCAGTGTGGCTCAGTGATTGAGTGTCAACCCAAGGGAGAGGGAGAGAGAAACATCGAAGTTAGAGGAAAACATGGATCAGCCCCCTCTTGCACGCCCCCTACTGGGGATCAAGCCCCAAACCCAGACATGCGTCGCGACTAGGGAATCGAACCGTGACCTCCTGGTTCGTAGGTCTAAGCTCAACCACTGAGCCACGCTACCCGGGCCTGCTCCCTCTCCCTTTCTCTTGTCAGAAGGTTCCAGTCCCAGGAAATGCTGCTTCATATCCTGTCTTTAGGAACCCCACGCTGCTCTAGAGACTTCAGTGGAGCTGTGATCCTTGGTGCCATCGCTGCCATCTCCATTTAGAAACTTAAAACCTATCGTGGATCCGCGAGCCACAAGACCAGGTCTGGGTGATGGTGAGTGAGCCATTGGGGCTGCAGGCCCAGCCGTCTGCACGGCAGCCCAGCCCACACATTTCACAGCCCCTTGGCCACTTCCTAACAGGTACCCTTCCCTTCCCCATGGAGGCCCACCCACCAGCCGTGCCACAGCCATCAATCCAGCCCTTCTATCCTCCTCCCCAGCTCGCCCAGCCGGGGCCCCGAGCAGCCCTTCCTGGCGACCCCACTGGGACCGGCATCAGGTGTTCGGGGAAGATCCCATGTACACATTCCCGCCTCCTAATGATCGCCCCGATTTTTTATAGACATTTGAAACTAAAGACAAAACCAGCTGTTTCTTGAGGAAAAGGAGCAAAACCTGGAAAGAATCTCCCGTATAACCCACCACCCCCAAAAGCCCAAACCAATAAAAGGAGTCTCTCCAATAATTCAATCTCCTGCCGTGGCCTCTGTGACTAGTCCAGGAGAAGCAGCGCAGCGGGGAGCCCTATCGACGAGAAATTTATCATTGGTCATTTTATTAGCTTTAATGTAGTCAACAGGAGCTGCTGGTAGTTTCAGCATTAAAGGATTTTCCTCCCCCGCCCCCCAAAAAGGACCAATGTTCTATAGGACAGACATTTAATTGTCTTTGTCGTGTTCTTGGTTGAAGAACAAAGTTTTCAAAACGCCATCCCTAAAAAAGGACTCCGCACTGTGTCATTCATACAGATGTGCCGCTTGCATCTCTCTTTTCAAGATTTCTCAGGGCTTAGAAGCCTGTCTACCGTAACTATTCTAATAATCCTCTGAAGGAGACACGCATCCGTCACGGGGGAAAGCGATTTCTTTTTAGTGGGAACGCTTTCCGATGTCATGTTTGGACAGCAACGGCCATCCATTAGTCGGTAATTTAAGCAAGTTCCTTAGCGCGGGGCAATTAGTTTAATGAGACAGTTGGCCTTTTGAAGTTGAATGGGACCAGGGGTGAGCTCACGGCTCCTCAAGGAGACACTAAATCGATTTGGTGTAAAAGGCCGAGGGGACATCGTTTCCTCCTCCGGTTTCAAGGCAAGACCGGGCGCACACGGATTGAGCTCCAAGCATGGAAATTAGACGGCGGCCCCTCAGGCGTTCTGGTAACCGCCATGCCGGGGAGGAAGCAGCAGCTGCTCCGGCTGTCACCGGGGAAGATGACAGGCCGGGATTAGGCCTTTCCTGGAGGCCAGAATCTCCTGGGGGGGGGGGGGGCAGCCCAGGCCCGGGCACAGCAGAACCAAGGGCGCATGGAATGCCCGCACTGAAGCAGACGGCAGCGCTGATGAATGAGTTGAAATGGTAGAGGTCCCTCCAGCGAGGGCCAGCTGGGTTGCCCGAGAGCTACTCCGTGGAGGGCAATTTCAGGGCGGCCAGGCTGCCTTTAGATGTTAATCAGAGGCACCCACATGTTCCGTCTTCACCCTTCAAAGCAAGTGTCAAATGTCTTGATGAAATACCCCTCTGATTACTCAGACACTGGGCATCAGCCACCCTGCGGATAAATGATTCAGGGCGAATCGAGAGAGGAGGGTCAGGCCCGCTACACCCGTGGCCACAGGGCAGGAGAAATTATGTCGTCATCATTGGTCTTTGAGGCAGAGCCCGGCGAAGGCCCACGAAGGCAACATCCTGAACTGGGGCTTGGGGATGGGAAGGGATGTGGGCATGGGGGGAGGAACTTACCCGGACTGCACTCTGTGATGGCAGCCAGCTCTTTTTTATTTTTTATTTTTATTAATCTTTATTGTTGAGATTATTACAGATGTCCCTCTTCCCCGCCCCCCTCACCCATAGCTCCCTTCCACCTGGTTTCCACCCCACCCCAGGCCCTATTGTCTGTATCCATAGGTAATGCATACATGCATATAAGATCTTTGTCTAATCTCTTCCCGCACTCCCCCCCCCCCACCTCCTTTCCTCTGAGAATCGTCAGTCTGTTCCATTCCCATGCCCCTGATTCTATTCCATTCACCAGTTTATCTGTTCATCAGATTTTTTAATTCAATTTCCAGATTCAATTGTTGATAGATATGTATTTGTTGTCATTTTGTTGTTCATATTTTTTTATCTTTACCTTTTTCGTCTCCTTCCTTTTCTTAAATAATACCCTTCAGCATTTCATATAATACTGGTTTGAAAACATAAATAGGTTTTTAATATCTTGCTCTCTGTCTTCTTCTGGCACCCCCATAATTCGGATGTTGGTACATTTGAAGTTGTCCCAGAGGCTCCTTATACTATCTTCATATTTTTGGGTTCTTTTTTCTTTTTGCTCTTCTGGATGGGTGTTTTTTGCTTCCTCGTATTTCAAATCTTTGACTTGATTCTTGGGATCCTCTAGTCTGCTGTTGAATCTCTGTATATTATTCTTTATTTCAGTCAGTGTATGCTTAATTTCTCACTGGTCCTTTTCCATTTTTTTTTTTTTTTTTTTGGCCTTCTCACCAAGATCCTTGAAAGTCTCACTAAGTCCCTTGGAGGTTTCTAGAAGATTCTTGAGTAACCTTATGACTGTGGTTTTGAACTCTATATCCAGTAGTTTGCTTTCTTCCATTTCTTTCATTTGTGACGTGTTTCTTTGTCTCTGCATTTTGGCTGCTTCCCTGTGTTTGTTTCTGTGTATTGGTTAGAGCTGCTAAGTGTTCTATAGGGCCCAGTGGCTCAGCCTCCCCAGTCACCTGAGGTAGACACTGCAGTCACAGCTGGTCCCCATAGCCAATTGGCCTGGGGCTTTCCAACCTGGGGGTCTCTGAGGCTGTGGCCCCAGTGATTCTAAAGGCAGCTGCCTTGGGGACTGGCGCCAGGAAGGCCTGGGCCATGAACAAAGTGTTGGCTGATCTTGCCTGCGCTCGTGGTCAGATACCCATCTCTCCCTGCTTTCAACCGTCCTTCCCCAAAAGCCTGCCCACGGGTGTCTTCTTTCTGACCCCAGGACCCTCCAGATGTTCCTTTAACGTGAGGTCACCCGGAACACAAGGAAATGCCCCTCAGGATTGTCTAGGGCTCCAGGCTCCGGGTCCTCCCAGGGTTAGTCTTCCCTGCCCGAGGCCTTCATGGTTTGTCTTCCTTTAGTTGGAGTTAGAGAATCAGGGTGAGCTCTCTCCTCGTTTCAAAAATACTGAGTCCAGGAGACAATTGTGCATGGCCTCCGTTGGTCTGCTTCCGCCAGCCTGCCAAGGCGGGGCCCCACGGGGTGGTGTGCTCAGAATCCAGCGTAGGATGCGGGGCTGGGTCGCTGGAAGCCCCAGGAGCCCAGGTGCGTCAGCCGGCTAAGGCGGTGCTACACTGATGGGCATCATTGCCACCACCAGAGGGATGTCAGAGGCGACATGTGGGGTGCGCCTGAGATGGGCAGTTCCATCTTCCCCTGATTCCCTTCATTTCTAGGCTCCTCAGAACCACTGGGATGGGGGCGTGTGGACATGGCACTCCCTTCCCCTGAAATCTTTATCGTGGACCCCTTTGTGGCAGGCACTCCTGTACTAGGTCCAAGGGAAACACCAATGCACGAGAGAAGCATCGTTTCTGCCTTCGGGGAAAATAGAGTCAAAAGCAAATGCAGCCAAGAGGACGAGACACTGTGATGTGGGAACGAGACGTGCTAACATCCGGGGATGATTGGGTGCGGAAGGAGGCCTGTTGGAAGAAGCCGTGTCTCCAATGGGACCCTGGTAGTCGTTTTCAGGCAGAAGGAGAAGTGTCTGCAAAGATGTAGAAGGCAGGGAAGGCACGGCACATCCCCCAAGGTGTGTGGCCAGAATGTAGAGCAAGGGGTGCAGAGGGGAAGGGCCGGGTCAGGAACCTGGCGGCCCAATACAACCTCTGCTCCCTCCCAGGCCGGGAAGCCGACCTCCCAGCAAGGTATGGAGGCTCTTGCCGGCACGGGGTTAGGGCCTGTGGGATGCAGAGATGGGATAGACAGGACTGCTGTCTTCAAGATGCTCTCTTTGCCCCTGGCCTCTGTGCCTAAGGAGACACACCTGTCCACACTTGCCTGAGGCTCTTTGTCACAATGGTCTTACACTGCTGCTTCCGACACCTTCGGCCCAAGACAGCAAGTCCTGATCACAGTTGGAGACTGTGCTTGAGCTGGCTGTCCCAGGTTCATTGCCATGTAGCGTGGGTGACTTATTCTCTTCTATGGTCAAAGGGCTTAAAGGCTTACCAGGTTGGGCTGAGCTAGTCTCCGGTTGACATTGCTTATCACCTGGGACCTCTAATCTAAGACCTTTCTCTTTTGCCTTTGACCTTCCCCCCACCAACTTTGCCCAGGAAATCGTTCCTTCTTCTTTTCTATTAGCCCACACCCTTTTTTCCCCCCTTACATGTCAAAATAAGGTGTACCTCTTCCAGGAAGTCCACCCTGATTAATTCTACCCAGTGTCCTGGCCATCTCCAGTGGCCTCTACCCCCACATATAACTGATGTCTTTTAAGTATGGGGTTACCCATCATTTTTGAACTTCTGTTTTCTAGTGTCCGGAGCTGGGGAGGTATTTCCACCTCTGCTGCTGCTTATGCAGTGTTGGGACCCGTACACCAGGTGGTGGTAGCTTCCACGTGCTCTGATGATACATTCTGCATAATTTACAGAGCAGCACCATGGGAGGGGAGGACTTGCTAAGCAAGGACCTACTATGTGCCAGGGCTTTTGTACCCCCGCCAGTTTCACCCTGAGCAATAATGTATATGAGGTAGATATTGTTTTCATTTTCCTGTTAAGGAAGGGGAACTTGGGAAGCGGTGAAGTAACTTCCCCAAACACACAGCCTCCTTCACGGGGAAGCTGGGATTGGTACCTGGGGCCGAGCCTGCCAGCTTCGTGTTTAAGAGGAAACGTGCAGATTTTTCTCTAATGATGACAAAAGAAATGAAGTCACTCACCTTTTCAAAGTAACGGTTCCAGCAACACCTCTGGGGTAATCTGGTATTGTCCTCGCTGATTCTTATACTGTAGTAATCCAGAATATTTGTAGATGGACAAACAGCTACCTTGGACATTTTTTTTTTTTTTTTTTTTTTTTTTTTTTTTTTTTTTTTTTTTAGCTCAGGCTACTTTCCTCCTCAATTGTTGTCAACTCAGGTGTTTGGGTGATTGGCCAGGATGTCTGGGAAAGAGGACTGGGAGAGAGTCCAATCAGGACCTTAAGTCAGGAGTCCAGGTTCGGTGACCCCAGGGGTCAGAGACAGTGAGAAGCTGGGGGCCAGGATGTGAAGGGGGTGGGTGGGGGGGATTCCAAGTCTTAGGGGGCAAACCGAGGGTCTCAGATTAGCGTTCAAGGCTAAGGAAACAAGTCACGTAGTCTCCAAGGTTGAAGAGGATGGGCAGAGCCAAGGGTGGCCCAGATCTGCCTTTGCTCTCAGAGTTGGAGCATTCGTTGCCTTTTGCCCTGGAGTCCAGTGGCC